TGCAATAATTTCATAAGAATGTGTAAAAAATTGTTGAGCCGTAAATATCAATTTGTTTTGAGAGAGGAAATTAAATCCTATTGGGATAGTTCTCATATTTAACTTAGCAAAAATATCGTTTATTATGTATTAAAAATGTATTTGTTGATTTTTTCCTTTGTATTTGGCACGTAAACAAAAATTCGATAAATTACACGGAAGAAAAATGTTGCTGTTAGTATAACCGCAAAAAGTTGGGAGAACGGCAGCACTCCAACTCGCGAAATCTCAACCGGACATTAATATTTATTATTCAAATTTTTACACAATAATCTTTGACATATTCTGCAACTTGTAGAGCTATTCCGAAATTTTCGAAGCACTTTACAACAAAATGGCGGATTTTTAATAATATTTTGTCGAGTTTTTAGTGAATTCTTTTTCAAACGTTAAAGTTGTGTTACGAATTTTCGAATTAAAAATTTTCATGAATGCTACATTGTAATTGAATATGTATTTGAAGAAGTTTTCTGGAGAGTTTTAGATCTTTAAATGTAATAGTAAAAAAATTATGACAATTTAATACATTATTAGGCGTCAGCGAAACGTCTGACGTGACATTATAACGACATGTATATAAATTATCATAACTTTTTTGCTATTGAATTAATTTTATTTTAAACGAAATTTTTTTTATTTATGCTTACCAAATGTGTCACTAATATAAAAAAGAACATTTTAAAAAACTGATTTCTGCAGTCAAACATTTTTCTCGCTACGCCATTGATTGGAAGCAACAGTATCTTTATTGTCGTTTAAATATCAATATATTACGTCTAAAATATTAATATTTTCCTAGTAGAACATAATGGATTACGAATAAGGGAATTGTCAATGACGTCTGACGCGTTGTTCCCGAATTTGTACAGAATGACAATTATTTTTCAATGGCTGTCACGTTTTCTGAATATAAAACTAAGTGTGATTTGCATTCATAGATGACTGATTGGATTGAAGTATGTAAATCAATGGTCTGGATTATTTGCTAATCAATATAAAACAAATGTGAAAAATAATGACGCCTAATAATGTATTAAATTTAAAATTCGCAAGATGAAATGATTACTATATTGGTTGCGATTTACAAAATAAATCAGATATCGGGTTTCATATTTTGTGTAAATAAATTTATTTGGTATGAAAATATGAACGTTTATACATATATATAATAAATGCACAATTATAATTTATTATGTTACATCTTATGTTACATATTATTATGTTACATGTCCATTCTCAATGAGCAGTTGCCGTTTTTTCAAGTCCTTCATCGTCCATATCTATTGCAATCAAAACACATTATTGTAAATTACATGCTAATAATTTTATCGCATAGGGGAGAGTTGGCTAAGTCGTACCGACGGTTAAATCATACCTCCATTGAATTTTCTAAACAAAACATTTTTTTTTAAGATAATGACACTGATGTGACGCTGGTAATATGGGTTAAGAACTATCATTTTTGTTTTGTCTTTGAGTCGTCTGTTTACGAGTGACATTCAAAATTGATTTTGTTCGGTGTCTGATCTAAGTTTTGATACAATTTACCTAAGGTGTTATCAATACAAGATGGGTAATTGAATTATAAGTCCTTCAGGGTTATAATTGGTATTTAAACTCTTTTCGAGAGTATAGCATCAAATTAGCAAAATATTTGTAAGTTATGTTGTTATTGGCAAATTTGTAAAAATAGAGGGAGTTGGGTAAATCGTACTTGTCATTGGTCTTTATATTGTATCGATACGATTCTCGCAAGTGACGCGAGCAATATGTGGAGGTTACTATTATGCTATTATGATAAAAAAGAACCTACAGTGGACTAGATTCAGTGTGTCAGGTGCTCTAAGTGGTTGCACGAAACCTGTAGTGACAATCCTGATATTTGCCAAAACTAAATAAGCGCTCAAGAAAGATTACTTATCAACTATTGAGTCTTTCTATTAAATTTTTCTATTGAGTCTTTTTATTGAATCTTTTCTATTGTGACGGAAAAATCTGTAATTGATTTTATTTCCAAAATTTATTTTTTCAAAATATCTGAGATTTTAATATTCTGAAATGTAGTGCAATGATAGCTTAAATCAATTTAAGTATTGCTTTTTACTTTGTTTTCTTAAATGAGTTTAAAAAATACAGAGTCTAATTTCTGTTTTTATAATAGAAAAATTTTTATTATACCTACTTAAATATGTACACTCAGTTTGAAATTAAAAATAAATTTATTAATAAATGAGTTTTAAAATTAATTTTATTTTCCCAGTAAACAAACTGACGTTAAAGATGTTATTTTAATGTCAAAATGACAATAAACAATGTCAGCTTTTTTGCTATATTAGAAGTACGATTTAAGAACCAGGTGATATAATTTAACGACTCGATCTCCAAATTGTACCGAAAGCTACTTTTTTTTAAAATCTAATTTAAACAATAATGTAATATTTATTTTCGCAAAAGTATCGTTTTGTTTTATTGCCAATGAACCAAAGTTAATATAAGTATAGAAATATTCTGATATCTTCAGTACTTTTGTTTACAATTTTGTTTAAACGTTAGGGGGTACGATATAGACAACTTCCCCCTAATAACATTAATGGGGGGTTGCAAGATCACAAAGTATCATATAATTATAATTAATAATTAAGATTATATCTAAGATTTTTCTTTACATTTTTCAATTAACGATTTTTTCAACGAGTTTGACAGGTTAAAGATTTTCATTAATCGGTTTGTGTGTGATATTTACCCAGAATTAGCAAACGCAGTCGCGAAGGAACCGCTGCCGAATGGCGTGCTTATTGAACCTGCATTGGCTGCGCTATTGGCGAATCCGCCACCGTATCCTCCGCATCCTCCTCTGCATCCGTAACCACCGTGATGTCCGTATCCTCGGTGTCCTCCGTAACCATGATGATGACCATGATGACCTCGAAAACCGCCATATCCGCCGAATCCGCGACCGTATCCGTGACCGTAACCACCGCCATATCCACGGTACGCGGTACGTTTAAGACGAGCGGGCTCCGGCTCAGCTGTTCTGACTATCCATTGAAGATCTGAATGAGAACCTTTAGATTTGAATTTTAATTCAATTAATTCAGACATCACTTCTCAATAATAATTATATTACTAAATCTAGAGAGATAACTATTAATAACGATTTGTTTATCTATTTGCTATATTAAATTTGAAATTGTTATTTCAATTTTAAAAGAAATTTCAAACAGAAAAATTTTATACAACTCTCGATCTTAACTATAATGTACTTTTGTCAATAAACAATGAGTTGTATAATACAACGTAAGATAAAATTGATCAAAATGTCAGCGTCAACATAAAAAGTAGATAAACTGGTTTCTTATTTGTGTCGATGCAGCATTAACATGACGCGCATGGTTTATTAAAATCAATATCTCAAAATATTATAAAATTAAAAAAAAATTGGATTTAAAAAAAATGCACGCATATGTTTTAAAAATAAATTTCTGTTTATTTCCTGCAGCTTCCAAATTTACAGGAGATACACAAAACATCCTTGCTTAAAGATAATAGAATTCAATTATTTTGCAATCTTGATACAAAATCGATAAAATAATAATATGTTAAAATTTGATTTGCTGCAACACTTTCATGAACACCATTTTTGTCTTTACCTTGAAATTGCGGTGCTGGTAATGCTACTGCAACTGCGACAAGCAGCGCAACGAATAAAAGGATCCTTGACATTCTGATACTGATCGTGCAGCCAAAGATATTCAGTGCCAAATGACGATGAGAAAATCGGCCGGGCAGTCTTTATATATACGGAACCCGTTCATATGTTCCGGGATATCCCAACGACGCGCGTTTACGCAGATACGAAACAGGCAGTTTGGACCGCGTCGAATCGGCCGCATATCATTAGCACGAACAGAATGAGTCTCTTTTGTCGTTGTGGAGTTGATGATGCCGCTGGCGCTGTGTCCCTGGAATGACTTCCGTCCTTTACTCAGTGGAACGTCATTTCGTGACAAGTCCAGCAATCCTTGGTATCGCTTGGTAGATCGTCTTAGTTCCAAAATTGCAAAATTTTAAGGAAGTGCGAAAGAATACAGGTAGATCACTAACAATATTTCTTTACAACAGTGATTAATTTATTAATCAACATTAATTAACGATTTTTATTTAATAATTACTAACCTTGTAGTAATTATTATAATTATTGTGCGTCAGCAACTAAATTTCTAAGTTAATTAATTAATCAGAAGTAATAAAGTTTTTAAAGTAATAATTTTAACTGAAATAATTTAGTACCGTATAGGAATTTATTATTAAATAATGTAATTAACAATGTTCTGACAGTTTAGAAGATTTTTATACTTTCATACAAAGATTGTGTATCCCACATAAATTTTTAATTTTTAATTCTTAAAATAGAATAAAGCTGAAAAGTTTGGGAACTGCTGATCAAGATAATCGTGCTAATTGGTTTTTAATAGTGGAGCTATAAAAAAATAATCAGTTGTGGTAAAGTCAGGTTGAAGAGGCAAATGAGAAATTGTGGATACACTGAAGAGAGTTCAATGAATAGCATGACGAAGATTTCTACAAAGGAAGACGTGAGTACCAATTTTGCCTACGTAATTAATGTTATTCATGTTATCGTCAGACATTTTTATCCTTGATAGAATATGTTAAAATACTTTTGCCATATCTTTATAAAACTGTGTGATAAAAATTCTTATAACGAAACAATCATAATATAAGATCACCATAATGTATAACGTAAATCCTATGTTCAGAAAGAACGATATTAACACGAGAGAAATCGCTATTACAAAATCCAGCATCCGGTAAATGTGAAAATAAAAATACGTTTTTAATTATTAACCCTTTTGACCTTCAAGCTTTTTACATTCCGTTGTTGCATAACTAGGTATTCAAAATACCATTTCTCAACTGTTGTCGTGCATATAATCGTCTTTAGATTCATTGTCCAGCATTAATTACGCTTGGTCACCGGAATAGCCGGTTAGCTTAAAGAACCGTGAAATCTTGCTTGCCTAGGGGATACATTAACTAGTCTTGGTCAACTGGCCTTGGTTTTTCTCGGGACTTCACAGTCTTAGGTCGATGAACGAATACACTTCGGAATTCCCATCTAACAATAAGTACTCTGTTCATCCACTATTATTAACACACAAAACAATTTTATGGTTAAAGATCTATTCAACAAACTATGCAGCTTAATCACAATTTCTTTTGATTTTTTAAATGCATATTTATATTTTAATTAAATCATTGATTGGTTTAAAATAAGATCCTGTTAATGAATTAATTCAATTAATTAAAAATGATTCAAAATATATGTTACACACAAACCCACACACACAATATTTACTTTTAATCCTCACAAAATTATTTATAAGTATATATTTGTTTATAGTTGGTTACGAAAGTTTTAAAAGACTTACTCGGAATTTTTTATATTTATTAGTTTGAAATCTTGAAGATATTATATAAATAAAGTTAGAGGCATAATACTAGGGAATTTTATTATATAAATAAAATTAGAAAATATTCCGATGACGTAAATTGTATATAAAGTTGCTTTATAATTTTTCAATTAGCAAGCAGTTTGAAAACATATTTACGAACGGAAATCTCCCATTCCGTTCTAATGTAGATTAAAATTATTAGCATAGTATCCCGCATAATTGTTATGTTACATATTTACATTGTAAAGAATCACTGTAGAAAAATTTTGACTCGACGGATTTATTTAGACTGGAAAAAGTATACTCCTACAATAAATTTACACGTTCTTTACATCGTACTCAAACAGAATTGTCTTAAAAGTTACATCACGCTTAAATTTGGGACTTCCGACGATGGGTATTGTATGCGCAACGTTCGCGTATATCATTATTCCTTCCAAAGACAAGTGATTGCAATCTTGCATGAGAATGCAAGGTGATCCTATAATTTTGCAGTCACCTGTCTATCTTAATCTTACTCTTAATCTTTTTGAAACATAATTTTTTCGACAAATGCAAACAATTAGATATTTACAAACAGTTATGGATGTAATAAGCGTACGAATTTTCCTGCAAAAACCGATGTCAACTTTTTAAATGTCTATTTATTAAACCATTTAATAAATTGAACATTTCAATTTTTTATTTTTCTAAAAGTTAGAAGCAATTTTGTCACTGCACTTATTCTGTAAATTTAAAACGCTGCACAAAACTATTTCAGTATAAATTTCGTTAATTGAACCATCAAACTCTTCAATTGTTTATTTTTATTAATCATAATATTTCCAGACAAAGTAAATACCATCTATTTTACTAAAGATTTCTTAATTGACTCGTCGCGTATTATACAGTGAATGTTGCAATAAAGAATATTATTTTGTGCAGTCCTTGGTATGTTAAAATTGAAGATTCCTGTTTATACCGATTTTTTAATCAATTATACACATAAATTTGCAGCTTTTGATAAAGTATGTTGAAAACATTAATGTAGTTTGACCGCATATACATACTTCGTCTATCATCTGTTGTATATGTATGATAACTAGTATGTGTCTTTTTTATTACGGATTAATTTATTATGGATGATTAATAATGTACTCTGTTTTGAATAAATTTTAAAACGACGCGTGATTAATCGTAGATCGTTTTTAGAATGCGCGTTATATAATAATGAACATGTCTTAACTTCGGATTATATGTTTATAATAAAGTTTGATATTATATTATATTCGCAAGATTTGAATTTTCTGTTGCTTTACGTTTTATGTAAATAAAATGCGTATATTATATAATTGTCATAATATAGTATAATTTATTTATATTTAGAAATTCAGAAAGTTCAAAAAAGTGTTTTATTTTAATGTCTTTTTATTCTATTATAATTTACATTTACAAAAGACTTAATAGATATAATAAAAAATAGTTATAAATTGTTGAATGTATGTAATATAAAAAGAATATTTATTTTTTCATTAAAAAATTCATTATACATAAATCAATTTTATTATTTAAATTTGGATTTTCCTCGAGTTAGTCGGATACTTAGATTTCTAAAATTTTATTTTAGATGACACTGTGATGTGAATATTTAATAACAATTCATAATTTACAAAAATATAAGCTTATACGATTGCGGATTATGCTAGTTTACTAAGTCTTCTTATATTATTATAAATTATGATTGCATATTCCACAAAGAAGGTACTAGACATATTTAATTTTTTAACTGTAGCTTGATATATTAATGGATGTAAATGACACAAATCGTCTAAGATTTGTTAAGCTCAAACAGTTACAATCTGTCTGAAAGTTTACTATAAAGTGGTACAGTAATAATTTAAAGCTCGATATAATCTAGATACTAAAAGATTGCAAATTTGTGTTAATATCTACTTAACAATGTATTTTTACATAATAAATTGCACATTCTTAAAAACAAGTTTAATATTTCTTAATTAGTTTTGCTTTTTCGTCGAAAATTCTTTTGTGTATAATTTGATATTTTTTTTATATCTGAGATTTAACAAATATTTAATAAAAAAAATTTATAAAAAGACTTGGCAATTACATGGATAATGTGCGAGTTGTCCAAAAGAGATTGTCTTAAAAGCTTCTTATTAGGTGAATTTAATTTGTTAATTCGCTGATAATATCGATCACTTTAACAATTATTCCTTATATGGCTGCGGGCGTTGTTTCTTTCTAACAAAAATACAAATAAAAAAATATATTAATTTATATACATTTACTTACATATTTGTTCTTATTTCTTGTAGCGATTTGTTTAAATAAAGGTAGTTTTTCTTTACAAATACTTGAATTAATTTAATATATATGAAATAATTTAAGAGAAAATCTTTTTTTCCAATGCGATTAATTAACCATAATAATTCGTTTTTCAGCGCAGTGTGTTTCTTTATAAAGATATTCAGTGGAAGGAAAATATAACTTACCCAGTTGGAGATCCGCCATAAGCAGTAGCTACTGAGCTGGCAACTCCGCCTTTTCCTGTAGAGTAACTATTTGCAATGGCAGTGATAGCACCAGGAACAGATCCGGAAGATCCAGCGCGAGTAGCCAGTCTTGGGAAGCTGAAGACCATAGGGAAGAAGTTGTTCAAATGAGGATATTTCTGACGGCGTCTGTTGCCCTTAAAAGGTACGAACGGCACAACCGGTTCATCGTCTTCTTCATCCACTTCATCCTCATCGTCATCATCGTCAGCGTTGATAGTTACGGGTGTCTTATGCGTTTTCTTGGTATGATGCATCTTTGGTCGGGACGCCTCCGTGGTAAATGGCTTTTCCGTCGGTTGTGCAATCTCTGTAGTTAACGGAATCTGCTCCAATTCGTGATGCCCCTGTAGAAGTAATATAGACCTCCATTTCATATTTCATCGAGAACCATTTATTAAATAGATCGATATTTATAATCTTACAAAACTTCTATTTCGTGAATGTATAAACGTAAACTGATCTTATATTATAATTTTAAACGTGAAACATCTAAAATTGATCTTGCTGCAAATTATGGACTTACTATTTTTTTTTAAGTTTTATTTAAGAATTATTTTCACACTCTCTTATATCAAACATAAATCTCATCAAATCGTCGTACCTGAGGGGTCAAAGAATCCTGATGATGGTAATGATAATGAGGATCGTCGGGATGAAGCTGTTCCTCCTCATCGTGCTCGTGATACTCCTCTTCATGACGATGCACCTCGTTTCGATGGTGATGATATTCGCGTTCCTGCTCTTCAGGCGCCGGCGCCGCCTGTGCCTCGGCGCTGGACACTTCCGATTCCTCGGTTGGTTCCGGGCCACCTTTGAGATGCGGCGTGTGCATACCACCGAAGAAAGCTTCGCCACTCACAGCATTTCCTTGTGCGAAAACGCCTGTTGCCTGGCCACTGTTATTCGTGCGACGTATCGGTCTGTAGTAACCGGTGAACATCATTGTCCTGTGTGGATAAGGACGCACGGCTGTCCTCTTTTCTCTCAAGAACATCACAGGATTGCCGTAAGTATCCAGCGTCACAGAAACTGTAAATAATGCAAAATTTTATTTTATATAAAATTTTAATAATAAATAGGTTATATTATTTTTCATAAATCTTTAGCTTCGTTTTTAGGAAACAGATCTCATATCTTTATATAAGAATTATAGAACAATAACCAAATTTACAGAATAATTATTGTTATTAACATTTGAAATTATCGGGATGTTTTATTTATTACATAATTTTATTGTACCTGTTAGTTTCTATATTAATTGCATAACATTTAAAAGAGTTGGAAATCTTTTTATAATTTAATTTTTTATATCTTATACTATACACAAAATGTTTTTAAAATCTTCAAGAAATATTTCAAATTAGTATATTAACTCTAGCGCTTACTAGGCTCAGTCGGAATCACCCTCGACTCTGCTATCGCGACCGACGCCATCGCAATTAGAACAAAACTAATGTAGTTGACCATTCTCGCTTTGATCTTAATCCGAGTTTTTTCGTGACGATGCTTTTTCGACTCTGATCATTCGTCTCTTTAGAAATCCTCCAGGAAATACGATTTTTTTCGTGCTTTAGCGATCTTCGACGGAAAATCCAGATAATTAAGCGGTTCACTTCCACCGATCTTGCCGATCTTGATGCATCAACTTTTTGCACGATGCTGGTAGTCCTTACCGCCGCAATAGCTTTTATACCACGAAGCACACGGACATGCAGGACAATGGGATGGGTAGGTACCTTGATATGGGGGTATGGGATGCCCCACCAGCCTTCGTCAAATGGTCTCTTATACGGTCAGGATCGCGGTAAAGTAAGCGCACGCACCGTCAAGCTCTACGTGATCGTCATGACCGATGCGAAACGTGAATTTATAATTGTGATCCGCGCCGATGACAATCTGGATTCGCGGGATCGGACCGATATGGGGAATCGCACGATGATCTGTTGATCAGGCTCTTCTATGCATGTAAATGACATGGAATTATTGATGGATACGCACACGTATATCTAAACGGAAAGTTCTAAGTATTGTTATATCCGAAAAGACAATCTTATAACAGCACATAAATATCTGATTGAAATATCTATTGTCTTGACGAACTCATTAACGTTTATAGCAATTTAAAGTTTACTAAATTAGGGGAGAAAGGATTGCGAATTTAGATTTGACTTCACCCTGACTTGTAGCATATTTTTCATCAACTATTCTTTCTTATCTATTCAATTCATTCATTCTATCTTTTTTGAATGACCATAGTTAATCAAAAAAAGAGGACATTGAACGACTGATAAATTCTGAATCAGAAAGAATCAGGTTGGTTCGAGGCATTTAGCTCATGACTGAAATAAAGTGTTTGTAATGAATTCGCTTGGGAAACGGCGAGAATGTGAATGGGCGATGGTTGACGAATGTCGCGGAGGGCCGATGGCCCCACACTTTCCCTCTTTTGCGACGTGAGTTACTGAGTCACCCCGATCAAGACGTGATAGAGAAATCTAACGTGCCAGACAAACAGACTCGTGGGCAGCTTCATGCATTTTCAATTGATCTAAAAATATACACGATCTGACAATCGAAGGATTTTGTTTGCTTGCCGTTTTCCTCTTTACAGATAATGCACGTCCTGATCGAGAAAGTAAAGTAGCAATAAAATTAAAAGATGATTATACAAATTATCATTAGTAATATGTTAAACTTTATATAACATAAAATTTAGAATTATGAATAAAAATTCAAATTTAAGTTAAAATAACGATCGCGGTAGTAAAAACTTGTGTATGATCAAATGCAACCGCAAGAAAGTCGGGTTAGTACGTCGGAAAGTTATGAGGGATGCGTCGTTGCATTCGTCACAAACATAAAATGTGAATAGCAGCAGGGATGACCAGCAATGAGAGCACGTCGTCTGTAGGGATCAGATAATACCGCGTCTGCTTTTGCAGCTGAAGATGAAGCATGGTTGAAGGGAGACTGACATCAAGACGGATCTGATTATGAGCGCGTTTTACTATTCCAGACACGACAGCTACGGCCACCACCATTGGACTCTTACAGACTTCTTGATCATCCCCGAAGAATTATCGTCACCTCTGACCAAACGTACCCGTTCAGACGAGTATGACTGACATAATATTAATTCTAAGAAGTCACACGTGCGCTCGTAGGGAGTTACGTCAAACTCGCGTCATTATCGGTGGATGGATCCGGTATCTTTGCATAATCGTTTAAAACCGTTTATTCAGCTGTTCCAAGAAGATCTGATATTTTACAATGGAAACATTTTTTATAATACGCATTTGTTAAATATTTTTAAGTATTAACACATTAATTAGAATCTTTAAGGACTTTTACCTTTTATTACATCAATAAAACTTTATCCCGTTATTATATTATTTTATTCTTTATTACATTATATTATTATGTTAATATCACTATTTACATAAAATACGCAAGAACAGAAGTAATCATTTTCCAATTATAAGTGGAAATTAGACCGGTATAAAGAGAATAAATCAAATAAGAGAAAGAATTTTATATTTTTCTGTCGAAGTGGATTTTGGAATAATAAATTTATAAATACACTTTTCAGTTCTATAAACTGTTCATATTTACATATGTGAATATTATTGAGCTAAGGACTATTTCAACGAAAAGATAGATTCTTTCTCTTATATGAGAGAAAGAATGTTTCCTGTAGATTTTTGGATATTAAATATGACTCCATTTATCAAATTATATAGCAATTGGTAAATGAGATCATATTTCGCGTTCAAAAGATTACGCCAACAATTACCTTCGTTTTTGTGTTCTTTATTCTTAAAAAATTAATTTTTGTTGGACAGTAATAAGTCAAAATTATATATATATTTATTTATTATTGCATTTATATTAATTGTAAGTTAAAGTTATTATATAATATGATGTGATTCAGCGAGTATCAAGAATCGAAGAATTGCTTGTAAATTTCGTATTTACATTTGCGAATTAATTCGGCGATTGTGATTCCACATAGCTCGCCATAGGAATTCCTATGTTATACCTAGAAACGTTAACGTTGAGTCCAGAGAACAGTGCGACGCGGATGTGCTGAGATTGATTTCTATGCTCTCGGAGAAGGAAGAGACAGCGATGTATAAAAATATTCCGGGGGGGAATGATGTACGAATTTTGCGATACCAACTGCGATACGCCTACCTTCTGTCAGACACGCTACTTTTTGATCCGTCTGGTCACGCTCAGAAATACGATATGCGTGACTTGGAAAGCGGTGCGATTCAGGATTGATTCATGAAATAACGCGAACTCACGATATAACATTTGCGATATCGGAGTACACGACAATCGAGCTGCTTAACTGACGAATGTGAGTTAGAATAAATATTATTCTAATCTTTTGAGAATCCATAATTCCATTAAAATCTTTCAGCTTTCAACGCGTCAACTGCATCATTATTTATGAACTTGATAAATTGTTGTACCATATAAAAATTTATTCGCGATTCTTGCTAATTAATTTTTGACAAATTAATAATATTTTTGTCATGATGTCTGACAGCTAAACAATATGTTATAAATAATTCGTATAATACAAAATACTTTTCTCCGCGTGTAAATAAAATTTATGGTTCAAGGAATTTAAAGGTAAATAAGAGGAATGCTTTTTTCTTTTTTTTTATACAAATTATGTTACAATGTATTGTTTAAATAATCAATAATCCGGGTTTAAAGCGGCACGTGGTTGGTTTAAGAACAATGCGGTACGAGTTCAATGACCGTATATGGTACGTCTGAAACCGATTTGAGAATAAGGCATTTTTATAGGCAAGAAAACAGGTGCGTCTAGTACCGTTGAAGCACAATTATTCTGAGTCTTCTTTAAAGCGATGCATATCAGATGTGTATTACATGTAGAGTTTGTAAAAGATATAGATTTATAAAATTTAGATACAAAATGCTTCCATTTATTAATCGAGCATCTAAGATCATTATGGCATTATTTTTTGCTGTAAATAATTTTTTTCATTGACACAAAACGAGAGATACGCATGTTATTTTTACAAATAATTAAATTGTTTATGCAATAATTATTTATAAAGATTTACCAAAATAGTTTTGAGCACAAAATAGTTACAAGAATTAAATAATGTATGTAATTTAAATGATCCTAATTCCTAATTATTCACTGTGCTTATAATGGATCATAGTACTTTTTTCGCTGAGCTCTATAAAGTATAAATTATAATCTTTTACAATTATTCGCTTACTTGTTGAATAAATTCAACAATGAATTCATATCTCGTGTACGAAGTCAACCATCCTCATCGCGGAATTAAAATCAGAAATCCCAGAATTCTCAGGATTTCAGCGGTACACTTGACTCCCGCTTTCGCAAATGTCTGCGCGGTTTTGCCGACGGAATCTCATTTAATGCCATCGCGCAGGCTGAATTAAGATTAGGCGATGTCGAATTACACGTGCTGTGCAACGACATACGTTGATCGACTCACGTGCGACAACCCGTCGAAGACATGAGACATACAGATCGTACTACTTCGGTAGCCTCGCCTAACACGAAATCTTGTTGAACGATCGACTAGCAAGTGATGCTGATGATTAATTCGTGGCGCATATTAAATCGATGGGCGATACGAATTTCTCGTCTGTCGTTCACGCATCGGTTTCAAAGGGATTTGAAGGGATTAAGCCAAATGCAATTATTATTAACAAGAAAATTTCTCAAATTGATATCTTTAATTTAGCGCAATACATTTATTTTTCTTTTACAAATACATATTTATTCTTTCTATATAGAGATATTAAAACGTTTAAACCTTTTTTAAAGAATATCTCTAAAGGTATTTGATTGAAATTAAAAAGCTTTGAAAACTTGTACTTCAGCTTCCGCAAAACAGCATTTCATCTCGGTGTAGATATTCACAATCTTATTTGGAAACCAATCACGAAGAGTCCGGTAAGTCCGGTAAATCCGGTAAGCACAGCGAGTTGAAAGACCGCGTAACATCTCGCTTGTGGATTGCGTTCATTTTGCAAATTTTCTAAATAAAACGGACGAAAGCTTCGTGCTGTATTGAATCATAGTATAGTACGTGTTGACTTAACGTGTATCCTGTTCAGTGGCGTAGGCAGGACGAAAAGATTGGATCGTGGGAATTATCGAAAATTCGAAAATAAAATGAATATATAATTAATAAAGCTAGAAAAAGTATTTACTTTAATAAAAAATTAAGAAAGAAAAATATTTTACATACAGATAGTTACATATAATTGTTTAAATTTAAAAAATCTAACATTATGCAGATCTTAAAAAATTTCTTTCCTAAATTGATTAAATAATCATTATCAAAATGAAAATTGTGCCATCCTCTAAATAATACGGATAAATAATTTTTGAAATTTTTATAAATCTTTAAATTTGGTAAAACATAAATAAAACGTCATTCGTCTTTATAGTCAACCCAGTCTTCTAGCTGCGCCACTGACGTCAGTGATTAACAGTCAGTGGATCGACGATAGATAACCGCATTTAGGATTTAGTGTCCGGCTATTCCTGGGAAGATATAAAATAGTTGCAGGTGTACCGTCAACTAACATAAACGCCCACGTGTATACGCAAACGATATACACATGCAATAAGACCTACGGATTTTGCATCACGATAGAGGTCCGATGCAAATGCGAGATCGGGTCGAAAACGAAACACCTGC